GTGCCAGACGTCCCGGTCGTCCCTGACTCTTCTGAGTGACTGGGCCTTGTGCAAGAGTTCCCTCAGGAGGGGAAAAAACACACAGACACAATTAATCGGCGATTCCCAGAAAATATGGGAAAATATGGGAAGTGGGGGGGAAGACAGAAACCCAGAAAATATGGGAAAATATAGGGACTATTTTTATTTGTGTGTATTTATTTGTGTGTCCCAGGGCCCCTTCACTTCTGCAAGAGTTCCCGTCCAATTCTGTAGTGCGGTGCCAGGGGGGCTCTCCCCGCGCCGGCTCCTCTCTGCCATGGCGCGAGGTTGGCCGCTCTCCTCAGGTCCTGGTCGACCTTCCATCTTGGGGCCCGCGTGGGCACCTGGTCCAGGCTGCCCATCCCTCAGGAGGAAAAAAACACACAGACACAATTAATCGTCGATTTCCCAGAAAATATGGGAAAATATGGGAAGTGGTGGGGAAGACAAAAACCCAGAAAATATAGGAAAATATGGGGAATATTTTTATTTGTGTGTATTTATTTGTGTGTCCCAGTTTCCCTTCAATCCCACCCCCATGGCGGCCATCCAACCGCTGAGGGCCCCAATGGGACGCAGCCCTTCGTGGTCCCGAAGCGCCCTGCACAGGAGGTGCCCAGGCCCCTGGCGCCTTGGCGTCATATTCCACATCCGCCGCCAGGCCTGCAGGGCCGCGCAGAGTGCGCGCCTGCCGAAGTGCACCAAGAGCTGGTTCCTGAGCGGGGCTGCCATAGAATCCCGCCCCGGGGCTTCAACCGGCTGTTGGCCTACATCCAGGTCAGTGTGCACGCCCACTGCTCGTTGGTGGGGGGCTGTCCTGGCCGAGCTTGCGGCTGCCAAGTGCTAGGCTGCGCGAGGTCCGTTAGGTCCACCGAGGGCACGGAGAAGACCCACTACAGGTATGCGTAGACCTTCCGCAGGTCTGCGTGGGCCTCTGCTGGGAGGGATCTGCATTCCCAGGGCGTGAGGGCGTCCGTCGGTCTAGTGGATAGCTGAGTAGTGGGGTCGGCATATACAAGGGCATGGTCGGAGAGGGATGTCTTCCTGGCCTTCCTGATGCGGTAGAGCCCTGCTGTGGCGGCAGGGCATGCTACTGCGTCAATCTGCAAATCTCCCTCTGTCGATTTGGGTAGGTCCGTCCATGGCAGCAGCGCGCGCCATCCTGCTGTCAAGGAGGGGGACCCAGATCGTGACATTGTCTAGTTCTCCATCCTTCGGGGGGGTCCGTTGCACGTTAATATCGCCTCCCCTGTACGTAGGAACATCGGCACTGGGAGGGACCGCAAGATGGAGGTCTCCGAGGGTTTCTGCCCGCTGATCTGCTGGGTGGTAGACGGAGACGAAGCGCGCCCTTCCCACGCCGCGCAGGGAAACTACCTCGAGGACCCTTCCAGGCTCTAGGAGATTGTGGGACGCAACATCGTACCCGTCTGGGAGGAGGATGGACATTCCCCCAGCCCAGCCGCCACCAGGCCCCCGAAGGGCCAAGGCGGCTAGGAAGCGTCTCGCCGGGAAGAGGGCAGCCCAAATGCGCGGCTCTTGCTCTGTCCAGTGCGCCTCTTTGAGCAGAGCCATTCTTCCTGTCGACGCAGCAGCTGTGATGGTGGCGAGCTTGATCTGGTTCTTGTGCGCCACAGCAGTCGACTGTCTGGGCTCTTCTGGGGCACGGCCAGGGAGAAGGCTGCAATATTGGAACATAAATGATGGCGACCACACGGACATGCTGGGGTTGCGGGGGTGCCCGGCTGCAGTGTCTAGCACGTATCTAAGGAGGCACAGAGGTATAACGTCAAGGGGAAATGACGGTAGGATGGCCTCCAGGAGGCCGAGCCTCCTTATCTGGCGCAGCCAGTAGCAGGCCAGGTCGAGAGCCAGGTTCACGTTCTGTGAGCCGCCGGGTTCCTTGGCCCGGCTGCCTAGCTCACAGTGGGCGACCCAGAATCGAGACATGGCTTGCAAGGCGTTTCTGGGAGCGCTGAGGCGGCTGAGCATTTCGCCCACCTGCTGCCCAAGATCCTGCGTGGCGGCAGCCCACAGCATGGTGCCAAGGACCTCCCGCCGCTCACGCGTCCTGACGTCGGGGTCAAGGTCCAGGACTGCCCACCCCTTCCGCCGGACCACGTCGCTCGTTCGGTCTAGGGTGTCCCCGGCCCTCCGCAGTAGTCGTGCCGCCTTGGTTTCATCAGCGTGTGTTAGCCTGTCGCTGGGTGTGGCATGGACTCCGCGCAGCAGGGGATCCCTGAGGTCACCTCCCTCAGGCATGGTGGTCATCTTCCATGGTGGGCTGGACGCTGCGCGGCTGCCGCGCTGCGCAGAGCCCGAAAGAGTCGGGCCCGCGGCTCACCGTCCTCCCCGTCCTCCTCCTCTGCCTCCTCCTCGCTCTCCCCTTCTCCTTACCCCGTCTTCTTCACGAAGTAACAGTCTGAATCCTGTTCTCTCTCTCCTTCCCTAGAGTTGCCCAGAAGATCTCCGGTCCCTCCCGCGCATCCATGCGAATGGGAGCTCGCGGCCAGGATTCGCTGGCAGGGCCGTGCTGGTGCGCGCGGGAGCAGTCGCTGCGCACAGTGGCTGCGTGAACCCAGGTGCGCCAGGCGTACCGCGGGCTATCGGTGCCCTCGCCCTGCGGGGCCAGCCTGCTCACCAGCGGCTCCGTCACGCCCGTGGGTCCTCGTTGCAGGAGTCGTACTCTTTGCCCGTGTGTGTCCACGGCGTCCTCCTGCAGGAGAGGGTTTCTCTTGCTCGTGACTTGGAACTCTGAATCGTGAAGAGAGTGAAGTTCGTGTGGTGTCATAGTATAGTGTTGGGGGCACCAGGGTGCGACATTACACTATGACACTACACTACTGCCGAGAGGTCCCCACGGCCGCGCCAGTGTGCCCACCCACACGTTGCCGTGCTCGTCTCCTCGTTCGCGAAGGCGGGGTGAGCTGCGCCTTATCAGACGGAGAGCAGGAGGACGATCTCTTTCATCAGCAACTGCCGAATATTGGTCGCCCGCGGCCTTTCATCCCCCCCTCCCCGTGCCGCTGCTGCAATCGCAATCTGTACTCCACAGTGCAGTGGATTTATAGCAGTCGAGCGTGACTCGGGCGTGTGTATTGGCCAAGCCCCACGGAGGCGCTTCCATTCTGGCTGGCCAGCCTCGCCCGCCGCATTATAATCTTTATGTTTGCTTGGCCAGCGCGCGTTTGGCGCGTTGATTGGCGGTTGGCGCGTATCTAGCGAACACGTTGCGCCGCCGACAAAAAAAGATAACCCCAAGACAAACAAGAGGCGCCCGAGACGGCCCAAGAGGACCCCAAGAGGGGTTCAAGCGGTGAAACTACAACTGACATGTCGAACCCTCCGCCACGAGCGGGCCCTCGAGGCCGCAGCAGGCACCCAAGAGGCCCCCAAAGGCCCCAACAGAGGCCCCGAGAGGCCCCCCCACGGCCCACGAGCGGACACAGGAAACTTCAGTATTTGCTCCACGAGGCGCTCGAGAAGCATGCCAAGAGACCCCGCGTTACAGGTATCTAAGAAGCCCCTGGCCCAAAACTCAGGTACAGTTGCAGCGTGGGCCGAAGGCCATCGATAAACAAGCAATTGGTATGGCGGCGGAGTTGGTTGGACTTGCGATTGACAGAATCCGCCTGGTACCATTCGCCGCTGGCTTGATAGTCTAAGGTCTCACTATGCAACGATGCATGATGCCAGGGTGCCCGCGGAAAACAACATCCCAAGCGACGCGCTGCGCTGCTGGCATGGCTGCTTGTTACTTGCACTTGTGGCTTTTATGCAATTCTTCACGCTACGCGCCATAGGGGGCCCGCGGCCCAGGGAGCGCGCCGGGGTCGCGCCGGGAGGCTGAAGACGCCCCCGGAAGGCGCCGAGAGAGCTCCGAGAGCGGTCCAAGAGGCTTCCCAGACAGCCCAAGAGCCCTCCAAGACTCCCAAGATGGCCCCAAGAGGACCCCAACGCATCAAGGTGACCCAAGAGGCCCCCAAGAGGACTCTCAAGAGGTCCGCAGTCATTTGCGCTCAAGTGAGGCATCTTTGCTCAGGACATCGCTGTCAAAGCACACTTGCATCAAACAGACATCCAGATTCATATTTGGATTCAGTACCTTCAGAAATGACCCTGAAGGGCTTTGCCACGTTGCTCATCACGGTCGTGGTGTTCATGGGAGGCATTCGCACCGCAACCGGTTTGCTGGCGGGTCTGCCTACGACGGACAGCCTGACTCCGTACCCGACTCCGTACCCGACTCCGTACCTGACTGGAACATCCGAAGGCGATTGCTTGACGAAGATGGGTCTTTGGTCAACGAGACTGGCCGTAATTGCATGGAGATCAAGGAAAGTAGTTGTGGGCAGGACGTCTTGGACGACGACGATATGAATGTTTCTGCGCAAGTAATGTGTTGTGCTTGCGGAGGTGGCATTCGCAATCATATAAACAGCCACGGCGATGAAGTAACGCTAAGGTCCAGTGAGGCCACGCCAGCATGTGCGTCGACCCTTGGTGCCTGTCGCGGAGGGGCAAGCCCATCAGGCAATTCAGGCTTAGTATACGCCACCGGAACTGCGAAGCTCTATGCGATGCGGACTCAGGGTGCACAGGATATGTTCTCCCAGCTTCTGAGTCTAATTCTACTTGGTGCGAAACATACACGTCGGTCGGTGCGACAGGCGATGGCCGAATATTATATATATATATATGTTACATGAAGGGGGCCGTGGGGCCAAGTCTGACGCCGAACCCGACGCCTTACCCGACTCCGTACCCGACTCCGTGCCCGACTCCGTCCCCGACTCCGTCCCCGACTCCAGTGGCTGGTGCGGCCGGTGGGGCGGCGCAGGCGACCGGGGACCCTCACCTCGCCAACGTGTTCGGGCAGCGGTTCGACATCCACAAGGAGGGATGGCACGCTGGTGCGGGTTCCCTGGGGTGCCAAGCGCGGGGCCGCCTTGCTGAGCGTCGATGCGGAGGCGCGGCAGATGGACGTGGCGTGCACTGACATGTACTTCGTGTCGGTGAACCTGACGGGCAGATGGGTCGGCTCCCAGGGCCGCGCTTTCTGCGCCAGCTATGTCGCTGAGAAGGAGTCCCGGCGTTGGCTGCGATACGGCCAGGTGGAGCTGAAGGTGGTGCAGGGCCGCACTAAGAGTGGCATCGTCTATCTGAACCTTTTCGCCCGCAATCTGAAATTTGTAGGCTACCCTGTGGGTGGGATTCTGGGCTTGGACTACCACGCGGCCGCAGCTGAGCACAGTCTGAAGTGCCAGAAAAGAATCACTTTGGCCTCGGTGCCAGTCCGGACGAACGCCTCCACCGCAGTGGCACATCTGTAAGTGATGTTGTCGTGCAAGCACGTTTGTCTTTGTCATTGCAGTTAGTTGGACTTGCGATTGACCGAATTCGCCTGGTACCATTCGCCGATGATGATGATGATGCTGATGCTGCCGATGAGGATAGTGATGATGATGATGATGATGCTGATGATGCTGATGAGAAGATGATGCTACTGCTGATGATGATGATGCTGACACTGTTGATGATGTTGATGACGATGACAATGACGATGCTGATGACGATGATGATGTTGATGATGATGCTGCTGATGATGACGATTACGCCGATGACGATGATGATGTTTATGCTGGCGATATGATGATGACGATGGTGATGATGATGATGATGATTTTGCTGTTGTTGATGATGGCGATGATGATTATGCTGCTGAGGTTCGTGATGCTGATGATGCTGCTGATGAGGATGCTGACGATGATGCTGATCATGATGATGACGATGATGGTGATGGTGATGATGATGCTGCTGCTGATGATGATGAGGATGATGATAAGATGATAAGATGATAGGTGGTAAGATGATGATGATGATGATGATGGTTTGCCGATGACTCTGCCGCTGATGCTGATTCTGCTGCTCACGATGCTGACGACGCTGATGATGTCGATGTCGGTGATGATGCGGATGGTGCTGATGACGATGATGATGAATTTCTGATGTTGTTGAAATTGCTGATGGCGATGCTGATCATGATGATGATGCTGTTGATGCTGATGATGATGCTGATGATGTTGATGTAGTTGATGATGATGATGCCGCTACTTCTGCTGCTGATTTCGACGATGATGCTGATGATGATGACGCTGTTGATGCTGGTGCCGATGCTGATGCTGATGCTGATGTTAGTGTCGATGATGCTGCTGATGATGATTATGATGCAAATGCTGCTGATGATGATGTTGATGATGATGACGGTAATGAGGATGCTGATCCTGTTGATGATGATGTTGCGGATGATGATGACAATGATGATGGTGTCGCCGATGATGATGTTGATGCCGATGATTATGATGATGATGATGACGATGACGATGATGACGATGATGATGATGATGATGATGACGATGATGATGTTAAGAGCCCCTCCTGTGATTTACCTTCCTCGTTGTTTCTGTTCCATATGCTTTCCTGTTTCATTTCAGCTCATTGCTTCTCTTTTGGGCCGCCTGTTTTACTTAGCTGCCTGCGGGAAGTCCTGCCACTGTGCTATTCCAGCATGCTCGGCGGCTCTCGTTCGAGGGGGCACTGGAGACAGTACTCGCGAGGGATGAACAACATGATAACAATGATGATGACGATGACGACGACGACGATGACGATGACGATGACGATGACGATGATGATGATGATGATGATGATGATGATGATGCTGGAGATGCTGATGCTGATGCTGATGCTGATGATGACGATGACGATGACGATGAATATGACGATGACGATGAAGATGACGATGATGATGATGATGCTGATGATGATGATGATGATGATGATGATGATGATGATGATGATGATGATGATGATGGTGGTGGTGGTGGTGGTGGTGGTGATGATTATGACGACGACGAAAACTATTGTTGATGCCCTCTCGCGTTCCCGCCTCCGGTGAACCTCCAATGCTTCAAAATGGCCCCCAAGCGGCCCTCCGACAGGGTCCCGAGGGGCCCCCGAGGCTCTCCCAGAGGCCCCAAGTTGTTCCCAAAACCACGACCACGACCACGACCACGACCACGACCACGACCACGACCACGACCAAGACCACGACCACGACCACGACCACGACCACGACCACGACCTCGACCACGACCACGACGACGACGACCACGACCACGACGACGACGACGACAACGACGACGACGACGACGACAACGACGACCGCGACGACAACGACGACGACGGAGGAGGGAGACGACCCCAGGCGCGGCGGGGCTTCGCCCCGAGCCGAGGGCCCAGCGCGGAGGCGCGGCGAGGGTTCGCCCCGCGCCTCGATCCCGCGACGCGGGGGGGCGGGCGAGGATCGGGCGCCGCGTGCGCGAGGAGCGCACCAAGGAAAATGAGGGAGAGTTGCCCCCCCCCCTCTCTAAAACGACGCGAGGGTCGGGACAAAATCGGATCGGGATAACTCGAAATCTCTGAGAGTCGGCGGGTTTGGAGGGTGTAATGGGCGCCGCGGCCGCTCCAGAGCGTTCCGGAGCGCTCCGAGAGCGCTCCGGAACGCTCCGGAGCGATTTATCCCGATCCTAGCCCTGTTTTGCCCTTCTCTCTCCACTGCCGGCGGGAGGAGGGAGGATGGGGAGGGGCGAGGGTCTGGGCGCCCGAGATGGGTACCGAAAAAATGGGTACAATGCCCAACCGCAAATGCTGTCCCAAACCAACAGCGGCCGCTGTTGGGCGGGCGGCCTCCTCCTCCTCCTCCTCCTCCTCCTCCTCCTCCTCCTCCTCCTCCTCCTCCTCCTCCTCCTCCCTCCTCCTCCTCCTCCTCCTCCTCCTCCTCCTCCTCCTCCTCCTCCTCCTCCTCCTCCTGTCTCGAATGGGCACAGGCCGCGGCGGCGCGGACAGCGAGTCCTGTTCAGAATGAGCAGGAACTGCTGTTGGGCATTGTACCCATTCTTTCCGTACCCATTCCGGGCGTCCAGAGAGGGGGTAGAGGGAGGAGGTGAGACGCGGGGCGGTGTCTCTTCAAAACGAGGACCCAACACCACAGGATGGCGGAGAAAAACATAGGTTCCACAGCGGCGGGCCTGAACACACTGAACACAAGGAAAGACAAGCTAAACAAGACGTAGCGTAGTTGTCCGCGCTTCCAGCCTGTCAATAGCCCAACGTAGAACAAACAACGCTACAACAAAACGCCCAGGGCGTTTTTTTTTTTTTTTTTTTTTTTTTTTTTTTGTTTTCTTTTTTTTTTCTGATGACCCAGCACAGACCACCAGCGACGACAAGCAACGTACGGATCAAACTAACCACCGAAAACGATTCACCACCAACAACGGCCACCCTAGACCAGCAGCACCAGGACCACCAAGCGGTGATGAACACACCCATAGAATGACGCGGCAACACCGCACCACGAACACTCGCAGACATCGATTACAACGATTCTCCTTATCTCTTTTTCCTTTTGGCTCACATAGCTGTCAATATGTCTGGCACGCATGTTCAACCATACACAACAGTATTTGTAGACTACCGCCTTGCTCATCTAGTATTAGGGAGGCCTGAACACTTGTCCGCACAGGTGGTTGCTGTTTCGTTCGTTCCCCCCCTTCTCCTCCCTCCACCTCCTCCACCTCCTCCTTCCCCCTCCTTCCTCCCAAAGTGGATCCCCGGACTAGGAGCCCCTGGAGCTGTCTTCGGGCGCGGTCTGATCAGAACCTCAAGGCGAACCCAGCGGAGGCGACGAGAAGCCTTTTGGAGACCCGTAGATCGCCAAAGGAACCCCGAACATCTCGACGACCCTCGACCTGGGAGCATCGATTCTTGAACGTCGATCGCCCAGAAACCTCCAAAGGAGCTCCGACATCCCTGACGACGCTTGACCTCCGAGCCTCGATCCTTGAACCTCGATCCCCCAGAAGTCCCCCAAAGGAGCCCCGACGTCCTCGACGACCCCAGATCCTTGAACCTCGAGTCCCCCCAGGATGGCCAGAGGAGCCCCGACATCCTCGACGACCGTCCCCGACGACCCTCGAACCTCGATCCTTGAATCAGTGAACCTCGGTCCGCTTGGTAGATGGACCAACAAGTGGAGCCCTTGACACCGCGCCCCGCGCCTCCCCCCCCAAGCAGGTCGGCAGCGCAGGCGCAGGCCCCTCCCCCTCCCGTCCCCCCCTGGATCCTCCCCCGTCCCCTCCCGTCCTCCCCTCGACCTCGGAGCCTCGATCCCCCCCTCCCCTCCCCTCCCCTCGAGCCTCGATCCTCGAGCTTCCCCCGCCCCTCCCCTCGGCCCTCCCCCCTCCCCCTCCCCTCGACCCTCGAGCCTCGACCCTCCCCCTCTCTTGCCCCCCCCCCCTCGCGAGGACGCAGGCGCAGACCGACGCCCACGGCCGCAGCCGGGCCCCCGCCCGGCGGGACCCCGGGCGGAGAGCGCTCCAGGCGCCGAGGGAGGGCCCAAAGAGCACGCCCTCGCCGCGGAAGAGTTCGGATGCAGTTCTTGCGGCGGCCTCCCGCCGCCCTCCACCTCCTCCACCACCTCCTCCACCTCCTCCACCTCCTGCACCTCCCTCTCCTCCTCCTCCTCTCTCCTCCTCTCCACCTCCTCCACCTCCTCCTCCTCCTCCCCCCTCCTCATCCTCCTCCCTCTCCTCCTCCTCCTCCTCTCCTCCTCCTCCCCTCCTCCTCCTCCTCCTCCTCCTCCTCCTCCTCCTTCCTCTCCTCCTCCTCCTCTCCTCCTCCACCTCCTCCACCTCTCCCTCCTCCTCCACCTCCTCCTCCTCCTCCTCCACCTCCTCCACCTCCTCCTCCTCCTCCCCCTCGGCGGCGAGCCAGGGGGGGGAGTGAGAAGGAGAAGGCCTTCTCAGAAGGCTCAGAAGTACCCTGGCCGTCTGAGAAGTGTTCCAAGCCTTCCCCGAGGACATAGAAAGCTTCTCGGCAGGCGCGAGGGTTTCTGAAAAGTCCCGCCGCCTTCTGAGACGGCCTTTTCTTTCTCGCTTCCCCACCCTCGCGCGCCGCCTTTTCTTGGGAGGTTATATGCAGAATCGGCGATGTCATATCCCTGGTCGAAAACATGCCCAATCTCGCTGAGTCCAGCTAGGTCCCGCTCGGTCCGGTTTAGTCCCTCTTAACGGTCTGGCTTAACCCTGGGCTTCATCGGGCATGATCCGTCTCAGTGGCCTCCGAATCCGGCGTGGTAGACCTCAGTAGTTCTGGCGAAGACCTCTTAGCAGTTGCCTGCTGAGAAGAGGTCACGACGGGCGTCGCCCCACAGACCAGGGGGGCCTTTGGGGGCCCGACTCGGGGCCCCGCGACCGTCGATCTGGATTGC